TATGTACGCTCTGCAGTACATAGTGTACACTGGTTACCATGCTGTATCAACCAAACCAAACTTATTTAGTTTTATTTACGCTCTGCAGTACATAGTGTACACTGGTTACCATGCTGTATCAACCAAACCAAACTTATTTAGCTCTATGTACGCTCTGTAGTACATAGTATACACTGGTTACCACGCTGTATCAACCAAACCAAACTTATTTAGTTATATGTACGCTCTGCAGTACATAGTGAACACTGGTTACCACGCTGTATCAACCAAACCAAACTTCTTTAGTTTTATGTACGATCTGCAGTACATAGTGTACACTGGTTACCATGTTGTATCAACCAAACAAAACTTATTTAGTTACATGTACGCACTGCAGTACATTGTGTACACTGGTTACCATGCTGTATCAACCAAACCAAACATCTTTAGTTTTATGTACGGTCGGCAGGCAGTACTTGCACGGTAGTTGCGCAAACTTTTAATTATATGATTTTTTTTGTAAATGTAAACAAAGGTTTGTTAATATAGCACATAAAAAAAGAAATAGATTTTGTATTCTGTATCCACTTTTTATTTATGTATAACTAAACAAACTTCTACAATACTTATTACATGATTACCCATAAAGGATGAGACTGTAAAGACGATCCAAAAATGTGGCGATTTGAAGCTTGATTTTTGGTTTCTCTATTCAATTGAGTATTTTGATGGTTTACTAAATAATTAAGAACAGAAATAAGCCACTTCTGGCCTACAAGGAACCTGAATGCAGAAAACGGACCAAAAAAATACGTACAATCGTCTCTGAAGTCTCATTCTTTGTAATTAACCCTGTACATTATTGTCTTTTTGCGACTCTTACGATTTTGAATGACGAAGCCAAATTGTTCAATTGTGAAACGTGTAAAAAAATTACTTTTGTGGTCTAGGTTGCACTATTTTTAACTACCGTATGATCCAAAAAATGTGAAAGAGGAAGACGACTGTGAGTCACAAGTTTTAACTTGATGAATCCAAGTAAACCTATCCATTGTGAAGTGTACACCGTAGAGATGTACACTGTAATGTAGAGATGTACACTGTAATGTAGAGATGTACATCTATATAACTTAATAAATTAATTTTCAATTGCTACGGGTAAACCTAATTGCTTGTAGCAATAACTACGGTTATGACCATAGATAAAGATAGATTGCGCATAAAACGAAATTTTTCATCTTAAAAGATATGAATGTACAGAGATGTTTTAAAGATATTCCTTTTATATAGATTAACTAGGTCGCTTGTGAACATTGGCTGTTTTTATGTCATTGAGTACTAGTGGTGTACATGAGTTCTGTAGAGAGAAATTTAGGTTAGTTTAGTCCTTCTCATGTCCTTCTTCAGTTCTCGTCAATATGATATATTGCTCAGTGAAATACTGTTATTCAAATAGTTCCATTTCCGGAGTTATTTTACACTCTATTATGAAATCCATTAAAACACCAAACCACCCCGCTTATCATTGAAGTACACTTTGACCCCTAGAAGTATGAGTTCGCGGACTGTACAATTCTTGGTGATTTTGCGTACATAAGCTATCTATGTTTATTTATTTATCTATGGTTATGACCAGAAATCTGTATATTAGGAAGGCGATATTGAAGCAATTCTGAAGTGCATTTGTTGTTTTTACCAAGTAAATAGCTTTACTAGTAAGTTTGGCAAATCACTTATTAAGTGGGGTCAGTTTACACTGCTCAATTCCTGTACCTCATGTTTACTATGTAAAGTAACAGTCGATATTCTATTCCAGAGTTTTCTAGTTAACACTGTAATACACATTCGATTGCTTGAATGTCGTCTTCTTTTTCCGAAGTTTCTTGAATCCCGTGCTTTATGTATTGTAAATGTTTTCTGAACTTTTTTCATCAAATAAATGATTATAACAACATTAAACTTTAATAATATTTTTATCCTAAAAGTTTTTAACAATTCTAAAAATTCTTTTCAAATATTTTCAATTAATGCATTTACTGAACAGATATATCTTAAATAGTCAAGTAATGACTTTTTGTAAGAAATTAGCTTGTATCTTTTTTTTAATGAGTACAGTGTACGTACACCCTTAATATCTTTTAAAGTTTTTTAATAAGTTTGAATCGCGGATGAGAGTTTTTAATTGCATGTGAAATAATGAAGTTACAAAAAAATATTTAGGAAAATTTAAAAATAAAATCTGTGAAATTCACTAAAGTCGTCATTTCTCATTTTATTGGTTTTGAGAATGCAAGCACATGATCCATATGTACAACAGTTTATTAAAATATGTTTAACAAATGCTTCTTTTCAATTATTTTTTTATAGAAAGAATAATTAAATCTACAAAATTTACATCTACATCTTTCTATTTTCTATTTTTTTATAAATCAGAGTGAATTTTCAAAATTTTACTTGACTTTTTCGGAATGAAATTTCTTTTTGATTCTGAATTGAGTCTTTGTCATACACTAAAACCTTTTATATGTTAATTGGACACTATTTGATCTGACAGAATTAATAGATTAGAAAATCAGAGTTTTTGTCAAAAAACGAGTAGTTTTCTCGTTACATTAAGTGCTATATGATATTGAATTAACCTAATGAATTAACATTTTAAGAAAGAATTAAGAAATTACAAAATGAATGACTGAAAAAGTACGCAAAAGTTTTGAAAATGCCGCACTACAAGATAATACCTGGTTATGTGTAAAATAGTTAAAATGGCAACGATATGGCGGTTAATTACCCAGGTAAGATGGCTACGCGGTTAGTGTGGCGTGGCCCCATGTTTATATAAAAAGGAAGTAGGTATCATTTTTAGCAAAGATTATCCTAATGATTTCAGGGTGAAGAAAAATACTAAATTTGAAACTATGGCAAATAAAGTAAGAAAATATGGCAATCACATCACTTTGTACTATCTGCAGCACAACATCCCTGATCCGCTGATCAACATTTTTGGTCAACTTGGGCAGTAGGCGCTAGGCACCAGATATTCACTATTCTGTCTTGTAATCGTAATTATCCACTTCGCTTTTCTTGATGTTTATGTCGATATGGGAATATATTTCTCTTCGTTTAAGAATGTAAAGATTGCCCTTGAGTTGCAGAGCTCAGTTTCTTCCAGATGTATTTAAGGTTGGAGGGATTTTCTGCTTCTTTTTTTCGGAGGCGCCAAAATTTCTCTTTGAAAAGGAGAACTCTTAGATTCGGAGGGTTTAGAGGACAAATCAGTCTCTGAAGAGTTAATAGTGGAAGAACTGTTAGATTGGGAGGGTTTAGAGGATAAATCAGTCTCTGAAGAGTTAATGGTGGAAGCTTCATTATGTTCCTCCATTGTAACGTTCATATTTTCTCTAGTAGGAGAGGTAAATATGTTTTCGTCCAAAGGGGGAGAAGCAACATTTACTCTAGTAATTTTAGAAAATAAATCTGATCCTGTCTTGATACTTAGAGAGATAAGACCTTCTGGTTTAGGAGAAGAGGATACTGTTTCTATTCTCATTGGTTGACTCACAGACGCTCTTCTAGAGGACAAAGAGGGAGCATTTTTAGATTTTACAGGGTTCCTGAGGTTTAAAGGACTACCTGCATCTATTCGTTGAATGCTAGAATACCACTGGAATGGAACCTGCCTCAATTTAGTACCAGATGGCTCCTCGGCCATTGGTGGGGGCATTAGAGTGGACTGGGAGTTTGAAACCCTATTGGTTATAGATATACACACATCTCCTAGCTTCAGTTGCTGGCAATCCAGCTGGTACCTGGAGAGACTCAACCTAGGTACAGTAGATGACCAACCCTGGTCAACAACAAAGAATGGATGTTCCACATCAGCTTCAATAGTTACTTGTAATTTAAACCTACCCAAGCTGAAGGTAATAAACACTGAGTTATTCTGTGGATTTAACTCAAGTTTTATAACCATGGTGCGCTCTATTTTAATATAAGAGTCTAACTTTTCAGACTCCAGGAAGTCCAAGGTATGAAGGTCCTCAATCTTTTTCATGTTTCCATTTGCTAGTCTTACAGTTGTACCCTTTTCATAACACATTCTGGTTGGACGGTATATGGATAATTCCCTCTTTGGTGAAGATAACCTTTGACTTGGACCGGGAACAGGAGATGATGTAGATCCTTGACTGTGCATTGAGGCAGGACTTGGGGATGGGACAGTCCTGCTACTTTGAGACAAGGATTGAGCAAACAAATGCCTTCTTTGATCCAAATCAGAACTGACAGGAGATCGGTTTAAAATTCTAGCCTTTAATGACTGGTTTTCATAGCCTGGAAATGAGGTTGAATGTTGAAATGATTCGGCAGACATTCTTCGTTTTCTACCAAAGGTTTCTTGTGGCAGGAGTGTAGGTGAAGAGGTATTTGATAAATGCATAAATGATGGTATTGGGGATGCATTGCAAAAATTTGGGTATCGTTCTAACACATGAGGGATGGGACGAAAGGGAGATGAGAAACCAAGACGAGGATCCAAAAGAAACTAAAATAATTTTTTTATAAATCTATATATAAATTTGGCTTGGGTGTCTGTTTGTTTGTATCCACTAAACATCAAAACGGCTGAACTGATCGGGCACAATTTTTTTTGTGGGATCTCACGTCACCCCAGGGCAGGTTTATAAATGATAAAGATTTAAAAAATTTGTGTTAAAAAGCTTTTTCTTTTTGTAAAAATTTTTATAATCTTGAAAATCGGCAAAAAAAATTCTTTGTTTTTCAATGTTACAATGAGAACATGTTCACAATTAAATAGAAGATGGGCCTATCATTTTTTTTGTCTTCCATAAACCTTCCCTGGCGTCACGCAAGAACCCACAAAAAATTTGGGCCCGATCGGTTTAGCCGTTTTGACGTTTATTGGTTACAAACAAACAGACAGACAAGCCAAATTTATATATACTAGGCTTTTAGGGCGCTTCGCGCCCATCTTCTACTTAAATTGTGAACATGTTCTTTTTGTTTACATTTTAAAACAAAGAAGAAAAAAATTTTGCGGAGTTAAAAAAAAAAATTCGCGGATTTTCAAGAATTTAATTTTTTTACAAAATTAAAAACCTTTAAAAACACATTTTTTTTAAATTTTTATCATTCATAAACCTTCCCTGTGGTCATGTGATGTCCCACAAAAAAATGGGCCCGATCGGTTCAGACGTTTTGACGTTTATTGGATACAGACAAACAGACAAGCCAAATTTATATATAGAAAATACAATATAACGTGTATGAGTAGACAAGCAGAAAGCAAATAATGTATACCTGTGGTAAGTAAGGAGTATCCCAAGGTCCAACTAGAGGATGATTTGGAGCTCTAAACTGTAGAGGATTCCAGGGTAGAAGATGCTGTAGTTGTGGAGACCCTTGCTGGTGGAATGGGGTGAACCCGAATAAGCCACCCTCAGGCTGACAAGGCGAGCTTTCCTGATGGCAACTGCGATGAACATCACTTTCAGATAAGTTCTCCTCAAGGGGTCTGGATCTTGGAAACTCATTTAAGATTTCTTCCCGTTCTTGGAGTTCAGGAGAAATATCTTCACACTTGGTTTGCCTTGAAAACTCTTTGGATATTTCTGTATGATGCCTGAGCTCAGGAGATTCAGAAAGGTTTTTCTTGCACTGCTTGATTCCAGGAGATTTACTCAACTTTGGGCACTTTGGACTGCTCTCATCAGTCCTTAACAAATGAAACAATCAAAAAAATTATTAGAACTTCGTAATAATAGATGAATGTATATAGGTGGGCATATGATCCGTTTTCAAGAAATTCAAGAATTTTTGGCCTTTAGAAGGCTTAACAAAAATCTAAGAAAATTTTATTTTACATAATTATTTTTGAAATTATGCAAATTTTGATTAGCTTACAACCCGATTTGAAAAATTCAGGCTTATATCTTTTCCCAAAGTCAAGATTTTGCTAAGTGTAACAAAAGCAAACTTTTACAGAACACAATTTTGAAATATTTAAAATTTCGCAGAATTTGATGGAGTCTCCCAAAAGCCTTATATCCTGAATGTGTAAAAAACAGATAATACTGATACCCAACTCTAGGTAAACCTTTCATACAAAAATAAAGGCTCGGGTAAATAATATAAAATTTCAATAATTAATTTAATGATATGTTGTTAAAGTGACAATAAAACCTATCAGAAAGTTCTTCTCGTTTTAAAATCTGAAACCTGAAGACGACAATTTAGGAACGCAATCATTTATTTAAACTTGTCTTTTTTAATTTGAAGTCTGCATTTTTTATCAAGTTGTAAGTTGAAAAAAAGATTAGAATCTTCGAAAAATTACTTTATTTTTTATTGACATGCAAAGATCAAAACAAAATTCAAATTTTTTTTTCAAATACTATACCTGACATTTTCGCTCTGATTTGCTCGATGGGTGTGGTACTTATGGCCCTCCCCCTGGTGAGCAGGTTGGGCGTGGTACTTAATGCCCTCCTCCTGGTCAGCAGGATGGGCTGGGTACCTATGACCCTCCTCCCCTCCAGTGCTAGCATCAGTTAATGGAGGAGAAAACATTTAGATTAGTACTCACTCATGTTCTCTAGTTCCTTATATGTATTTTTTAGACATGCCGCGGGAATTTTTATGTTTCATTCAAGACGAAAAATTCAATATGGCCGCTTTAAAAACTTTCCACGGAAATTTTCGTTGAGGAGGTATTCTGAGAAACACATTGGCAGGTTGACAACATTCAGGTAACAGGTGTCAACAAATATATAGATACAAATCAAAATAAACTGAGTCAAAAAACAAAAATACTATGTCCCCCCCCCTTTTTGTAAGGGAGGGGGCAGTACCCTTTTTGCCCCCTCTGAAGGCAAGAAGGATACTGGGGGGAGGCGAATCTAATGTGTAATGTATATGAAAAGTTGTAATATCTGTTTGTTTGTTTGTTTTTCTCTTCTTAGATTGGTAGTTTTCAGGGAATAACTTTCTCTGAAAACTAAAATAATATAGTTTATACCTCTAATAGACTAATATGGGTTATCCCTCTAATATAGTTTATACCTCTAATAGACTAAAATGGTTTATCCCTCTAATATAGTTTACACCTCCAATAGACTAATATGGTTTATCCCTCTAATATAGTTTATCCCTCTAATATAGTTTATACCTCTAATAGACTAATATGGTTTATCCCTCTCATATAGTTTATCCCTCATAATATAGTTTATCCCTCTAATAATATAGTTTATCCCTCTAATTTAGTTTATCCCCCTCTAATAATATAGTTTATCCCTCTAATATAGTTTATCCCTCTAATAGCTCAAATTAAATATTTTCTCTCTTTGCTGAATTGAATTTGATTTATACGAAGAGCTAAAATATCCCTCTCTCAAAACCTCTATAGATTGTACTGTTAATTTCATATTAATGAGGTTAAAGGAACTGTACGCTTAATTTCAAGTGACCCACCGCGCAAAGATGGCTGATTTACAATGGTACCCTTGGAACCTTAGTCTGATCAAAAATGTGGAAGATACCGTTATTTACTGATTTAAAAGGTGTATAATTCTGATAATTATTCCATTGCCCCTTGTAAGTTGTAAAAAGGAAATATGAAAGTCACTTTTGCAGAGAAATCTTAAATGAAAATGAACAGTTTAAAGGGACAGTCGGGCAATGTAAGGTAGTTAAACTGAGTATGCAGTGTTTTGGACAAATTCTTTAGGATTTATTTATAACATATATAACTTTTTTGAGATCTTTAAATCCTGAGTTTGAGCGCAAAGTCGACGTTCAAAAGCGTACTTTTGGGTGGATACGTTTTCAGAATTGTTTTTTAATTTTTAAATAACGACGACAAAAAATGTAAACAAAATTCTACAATAAACCAATTAGTTGTTTAGGAACAGGTTGAGAAAATATAAATTAACTCTTTTCATCGAAAATAAGTGATCTTATTCAATTATAAGTTTCTATAATCTCTCTGTAATCTCTCTGGAATTTTTGTTCAAAAGACGACATTTAAAGAATTTGAAGAAATCTGCGAACAAATTCATAGAAAATAAGAAATTCAATATGATGATGATGAAAAAGGAAATACTTAATTCTAACTTCGATTTATTGACAAATTTCCTTTGAGAAATTTGTTCCTTAACATCTCATAAGTTTACAGTAGAATTTTGACTTCCTTTTTCGTCGTTATGTGATAATTTAAAAAAAAACAATTCTGAAAACGCACCCACCCAAATTCTTGATTTTGAACGTCGACTTTGCGCTCAACCTCAGTAACTATACATCGTGGAAACGTTTTATATCTCTCAAATGAATTCTAAAGAATTTGTCCACAACACTGCACACTCAGTTTAACTACCATACATAGCCGGTCTGTCCCTTTAAGGAGACAAAACATGGATAACTAATTTTTACTTGATCAGACAACGATTTCAAGGGTACCGTTGTAAATCGGGCATTACCATCTTTACATTGAGGGTCACTTGAAGTTACGCTTACAATATCTTAAAGAAGACTAAAAAAGACTACAGAAAGACCAAACAATACGTTAATGAACTATATCCTGTGGATAAGGAAGACGATATATCAACAATCTTATAAGTCTGATGACATCGAAAGTTGAAAGAAATAATGTTTCAAAGATACAAAAATTATATAGAACATTGATAATTTATTTTGAAAGGAAAGCTAAAAGTATTTTATGAAGACAATGATCAAGAAAGCATAAATAATTAAAAATATTCTATTTTTACCAAAACTAACAGCAGTTCTATCAATTAAATATTTAATAAAACATGCTCAATCAAACTATTCGAGAAAAAAAGCAAAATTTTCATAAAGCTGTTTTTTAGTTTGTAATTGTATCAATTAGAATTAATTAGTTAGGTAGTAGCAAGGTTATAATGCCAGGAAAGATAATTGCAGTTGCGTATACTCTGTGTACATATTGAAACCAGTTCTCTCCGGGCGGAATTTTTAAACATGCATAGATGCATCACTGTTCGTTTAGTATCCGGGGAGGATAAAAGTATTAAATTTTGATAATTTTGATAAATTTGATAATTCACATAAGGGTTTTCTATGACCAAAATATTTAATTGATTTTTTATGTGAAAGATGGATCCCATGTCAGGCTTTGACATCCGTCTTGTGTTTACATTACCGCCTAGAGACAGTACACAGCAGTATAAAAGATGCGTACACCTCTGAAATAACTTTCCTTGCATTGTAACCTTTGGTCTATTCAGCCAACCTTGCATTTTGACAATTCAAATATTTGCTTTTCGTCGAAACTAGATACATTTGGTCAATTTAGATGGAGGTTCACTGCAAATTATGTCAAATATTTTTTATCGGAAAAACTTCTTAATCCCCTGAGATCAAATAATTCAGAAAAACTTCTTAATCCCGCTAAATTAAATAATTCGGGAAAACTTCTTAATCCCCTGAAATTTAATAATTCGGAAAAACTTCTTAATCCCCTGAAATTAAATAATTCGGGAAAACTTCTTAATCCCATGAAATTTAATAATTCGGAAATACTTCTTAATCCCGCTAAATTAAATAATTCGGAAATACTTCTAATCCCCTGAAATTAAATAATTTGGAAATATACTTCTTAATCCCCTGAAGTTAAATAATTCGGAAATACTTCTTAATCCCCTGAAATTAAATAATTCGGAAATACTTCTTAATCCCCTGAAATTAAAGAATTCGGAAATATACTTCTTAATCCCGTGAAATTAAATAATTTGGAAATATACTTCTTAATCCCATGAAATTAAATAATTTGGAAATATACTTCTTAATCCCCTGAAATTAAATAATTCGGAAAACTTCTTAATCCCCTGAAATTAAAAAATTCGGAAAAACCTTTTAATCCCCTTAAATTATATTTCACATATAAGGAAAAGAAGCAAAAGTAACATAATTAAAAAATAACAGGTGTAAAGAAACTGATAATTTATATCATGAAACTGAATATTTTAGGAATTAACAAAAAATAGCCATTTTTACGCTTAGGAAAACAAGAAAACGACTTTTTATCTTTTTTCATACAAAAAAATATCTAGAAAAATGAAAAATTGAAGAAAAAAATATTTTCTATCGCGTAAATACGATGAAAAATAAATGAAAAAAAGGAATTGAGTTTTTGTCACAAACTCTGATTTTCTTATCCCCATATCTTTGCATTTCAATGTCGGAGACCTTAGATATTTCAAACTATGAATCATTTTAGATCAAATAATGATAGTTTTAAATAGCAAATGTTAACACAATCAGGTTGCAAAGATAAAGCGATTTGAAAATCAGAATTTGTGGCTAAAACTCAGTTCCTTTAAACGGAAATCACATTATTAAAAGATATTTGATTCAGAAGTTTTATACTTATGTTTTGTTTATATCTGTTTTAATTATTACTACAGAAAAATATATGATTTGAACATATTATTACTAGCTGAAGAATAGGCATTGCCCGTGGAAAAAAAGTTTAAAATTTTTTTTGAGAAATAAATTTAGAAAAAAAATTCGATTTTTTAGCCTGAAATACCCCCCGGCCACCCCTGAGTGTCCACAAAAAGTTTCAGTCCATTTGGTCCAGCCGTTTGGCCGGCTATTCTATTTTAGTTAATTGTCTAATAAGTTATTTTTCTTAACTTTATAATTTAGTTAATTATCTAATAAGTTATTTTTCTTAACTTTCAAATTTAGTTAATTGTCTAATAAGTTATTGTTCTTAAATTTATAATTTAGTTAATTATCTAATAAGTTATTTTTCTTAACTTTCTAATTTAGTTAATTGTCTAATAAGTTATTTTTCTTAACTTTCTAATTTAGTTAATTGTCTAATAAGTTATTGTTCTTAAATTTATAATTTAGTTAATTGTCTAATAAGTTATTTTTCTTAACTTTCTAATTTAGTTAATTGTCTAATAAGTTATTTTTCTTAACTTTATAATTTAGTTAATTGTCTAATAAGTTATTTTTCTTAAATTTATAATTTAGTTAATTGTCTCATAAGTTATTGTTCTTAAATTTAAAATTTAGTTAATTATCTAATAAGTTATTTTTCTTAACTTTATAATTTGGTTAATTGTCTAATAAGTTATTTTTCTTAACATTATAATTTAGTTAATTGTCTTATAAGTTATTTTTCTCTTGATGATTAAACATGTTTTAGAATATTATATATTCTTCTAGTTGACAATATTGAAAACAAAATTGTAATATTTCTATGGTCGTTTATGAGTTGCAATATGTTCACAAAAACAATTTTTTCGTGTTTAAAAAATCTTGATAAAAAATTGTTTTATATCAAATTTGTGTTTTCAAAATATTTGATGTTAAATTATTTGTTAAAATATTAAAAAAACTTAATCTCCAAAGTACGTAAAAGTACAAAGATATAAACATAAGGAAAAGGTATATTTGAAGCGAAATTACAGGTACGCCTTTGTGACCTCAAGTTCAATTGTTTTTGCACCGAAATAAAAATAAACATTTATTTTATTTAAAATAAACAATTCTGAATTTATTTGTTCTTGTGAATAGGAACTGAAGCAACAGAAGGTGTTATG